AGAATATAGGATGTGAACAATAAATCAGATTACCTTTAAAAGATTTACATTTTAAATTTGTTTGGGGTCTTGCCAAGGGAAACCTGTTTTTGCTCAAATATATGCAGTATCAAATCACATATATCTATACTAGTTAATGTACAGGAAGTAACAAGGTGCTAAATTAGCCAAAACTAAAAAAAGTGAATAGCAATAGTAATCAAAATCTTACTTAAGTGTAACCAATTTCTTTTACAACATGTGCAGTGTTTCTGGTGGATTCTTTGTAAAGTTAACTTCTCTGTTTAAAAAAACAAAACAAAACTTATTTCAGGAGCTGTGCACACTGTTCAGGCTTTTATCTTGACAGTGGTACCTTTTGGTCTTATAGCTTCCATTTTTGGGAGGGAATGGAGGGTTTGCCACTTGTTGCAGATGAACTTAAATTGAAAACTTTGTTACATTTCTATTTAATTCATTACAAACTAGGAATACAATAATTTCCCAATTTAGAAATTTTGTACCTGATTCTGATAATTTAGCCAATTTATGTTTGTACAAATTTAAAGAAGGAAATTTTTTCTGAATAATTCTAATAACCAGCCTTCGGCGATGGCTATTTTAAGTATGGCTGCCTCTTACCCTCCTAACTCCTTCCCCCAATCTCAGATCAACTTTCACACTGAAAATACAGTAGTAAAAGTAAATAAGTGGGTACCGAAAAACTTAGATACCTAACAAGCCACATACATATTTCACAATAAATAAACTTTCTTACTACTCTTGAGTGCTATTTAGAGGCTCTCGTCTGATCTAAAAATAAATGAAGCTAAATAAAGGTGATCAACCATAAAATGGGTGACCATGGCTCACCACCTTTCATCTGAACATTTACTTTTATGGAGGCACATTCTCCCCATAAGGGGAACCAAGGGGTAAGGAAGGTGGCATCTCTGAATCTAGCAAATAGCTTTTAAAAGAGGGATGAATGACAGTTCAGTAGAAGTCAAATAAAGAAAAACAATGTGGTTTTATATGCTGTGCTGTGTGCATTACTGACAAATGTGAAGACAAGCGGTGGTTTCCTGGTTCCATTATGTCAGTGCCAAAACTCCTGTTGACCATTTGGGTCAGGATTTCACCCAAGATCTGTGCCCTGAAGAGCTTACATTGTTTAAAGATTCTCAAGTGCAAGTCATGCAGGAAAACAATTCTTGCTTTTAAGATTTTTATAATGTATTTTATTTTATTTTGTTTTGTTTTACCTATAGACTGGATCAAGGCCACTATCCATCTGAGCATATTGTAACCTCAGAGGCCTAAGGAGACTAGAATGTTTTGTTAGCCCCAAACATCTTACATACTGAATTACAGGCTCCTTTTCTTCTCCTTTTGTTAATGCAGACAACAACAACAAAAAGTAAATTCCAGAACAACTGCAGTAGAGAAATGACTCTCCATAGGATGTGCACAGAACATCTCACGTCATCAGTTAGTCTTCCAGTCTCCGAGGGGAGATTGGGGTGGGTCATGTAAATCTTGTGTATCTTCAGGAAATCTGAATTACAAGGCAAGAGATTCCCTCATCTATAAAGATACAATGAATAGAAGATTTTCATTTTTGTAGTGCAAGTAGCTCCAGGGATCTCCTGAACTAAAAAGTGTAATAGTGAACACTGTAATAATTATTATAAACAATGCTGATGTCCACAAAGAAAGAGACCCTATAGCTGCCTTAAGAGAGCAAAATGTCTTAAGAGCTAAAAGTTTTTGCTTCATATTTCGTGCTGGAGGCACAAGACCAAAAAGGGAGAATCATGAGCAATTCTTCTGGGAAGGCAGAAGTACATGGTTAGTAATTATCTCAACTAAGTAAATACCACACCCTAGCTGTAGTCCATAACACAGCAAGCAAAAGATTTCATCACATATTTTATTAGGGCCATTTTTTTTGTCTAGCATTTTTTTTACTTTAAATGTATTAACTTTTTTTACACACCTTTTGATTGGAGGACTAGTGTTTATAGGCCTTATGCAAAAAGTGAAGAAGGAGAAGATTACATGTATGGCATACAGGGTCAAGAAGAGGGTGATTGAAAGAAAAGCAGGCCGCATTGAAGAAAATAGGTGTGTGGGAAACTTCCCTTTTTCTGTGCTAATAAAACACATACTGTGTGTGTTAGCATAATAGCTAAATTATCTTACATATAAAAGTGCATACGCAAACAGATCCAAAGATTCTGATTGCAGCTTTCCTCATTTGGTTTTTAATGTAACCTTTTAAAATTGTGTTGCTTTAGAAAGCGATTGAACACTGTTTTTAGAAAACACTCACTTTCCTATTTTCTATTTTACTGTGGGTATAGGTTAGTTTATTATGTGAAGTCTGAACATTCAAACTTGGTTTAAATTGTCAGTGATAATGTAGCTCAAGAAGGTGGTAGATATTAGACTACCTGAAGTAACTTCTGAGTAATTTATAATCTAAGCATATGAACGCTGGTAACCTTTCCTGGATAAAGCCTTCCACGTACAGAGATTTATTATCAAAATTTAACTAATCTGCTTCATACTTGAAAGAAAAAACATCTTTAAGACGTCTTTTGCCATGATTGATTATAATTCACTTTTTAAAAATAGATTAAGCACCTTGATGACCAGCTAATAATCACTTCATAGATTTAGTATTGTAAATAGTAGGATATAGGATTTTAAATGGTTATTAGATGAAGAAAAAAAATTAGAGAAATAGGTGAGTCCCATTTTATGCAGCTAATTTTTCAGCAAAGGCTAGATTCTGCCATCTGCACTTATGTTGAGTAGAAATTTACTTCTAGATTAGTTCCATTGACCTTAGTTGATCCAATCAAGAAGTAAATTACTGAGCACATGCAGTAAGTATAGGGTGACAAGATAGCAAGTGTAAAAAATCGGGATGGGGGTGGGGGGGTAATAGGTGCCTATATAAGAAAAAGCTTATAAAATCGGGACATCTGGTCACCCTAAGTAAGTATTAGTAAATGAAAGTGCTGTCCAGAGAAAAACCTTCTGTAATTGTCATTGTCTCCATTATTTGTATGTTATGTTACTGTGGTATTTCAGTTTAACTGATGCAAGGAAATCTTAAATCTCAATCCAAATTTAACATTATTCTGCAGAATCTGAGGTTACATTCAACATTTTCGAGGTTATTTGATTGCACAGAAGACTTTTCAAAATGTAAACAAAACAGTGTTCTTCACATTTCAGCAAGACAGATTGGAACAACTTAGCATCAACAGAGTTGCTAGTTTACAGATTTCATATTAATCAAGTATTAATTATCATGTGTTTTAATACTACTCAGACTTTTCCAAGTAGGACTCTGATGTGGAAGTGCTCTGATGAGAGCCTAATCTTCGTGATTATTTTAAAAGCCTACATTTGACCCAAAGCACCAAGTCAAACTTATTAATAATTAGGGTGTCTCTACATTGGGAAATTGACTGGAATAGCTATAGCTAGCTATACTGGTATAACTCCCTTGTGTGGATGCTCCATTCTGGAATAAAAGTTAGTTTATTCCAGTATAGTGTCTACATGGGGTGGGGATATGTGTTATGTGAGCATATCTATAGCAGAGTAAGTATTTTGCTATAGCTGTGCTGTTCAGTTTCTCCATGTGGACAAGCCTTTAATTATAAACACTTAATGGTCACATTTGAATACTAATTTTCTTTAAAAATCAAACCAAACCCTCGAGAGAGATTCTCTGTAACAGACATACTATAATATTACTAGGCAGAGTGGCTGTAGCTGTAATCAAACCTCTGTATTTGGCAAAAACTGTATGTGTCCCCTTGAAGTTGCATGTGATTCTAAGGGGATGTCTTCACTGCAGAGTTAACATGGGTGATTGGCGCCCGGGTTAACCTAGTCTGGGTTGCACATCCCTACTGCAAACCCCTATTTGTGCCAGACGTGTGTGGCTGTGTCTATACTGGTGCTGTACTTACCCATCTGAGATACTAGGACTTCTGAAGGGATATCCCAGGTCTCTTTGCAGTGTCCTGAATTGGGTTATTCTATGAATTCTTATGCAGTGTATTGTGGGAGAACTTTGTTGTTGTTTCTGGGGCCTATGTGGAAGTGTTCTTAGTTAGCAAACTCATTAAGTAATCCACCCAAGGTTTGGCTGATTCTGTTTTCAGGTAAATATGTTCAAATTTTAGGTCTTAGCTTACCTCATCCAGAGGCACACCAGAACCCTGATGTCAGCATCTGGCTAGCTAACAGTTTAACATTGCACTGAGCGGATGACTTGTCAGATTGCATCACTGTTCAAATACTATAAAAGTTCAGTAGAAATGTAGCAGGACACATGCAGTGTAGGGTTTAAATGCCAAACTGCTGTATATAAACTGGAAGAAGTTTTCCAGTGCAGAAGAGGGGAGTAGGTAGAGTGAAAGAAAATATGGTCTGGGGAAATTGTGGGATGGCACTGAAGGACTATCAGCACCCATGTTGATTAGCCTGTGTCCCCATTGCAAAGCAGGTGAGTTAACAGCCCAGATTAAAGCACAACCCGGGCTCAAGCCTATACCAACCATTGGTGCCACTTAGAACAGGTTTAAAGTGCTACTAACCCCAGGTCAGAGGTTTTCGTGTGTGTTTGGTAGCCAGGTTAAGGACAACATCTGGGTAAGAGCCCAGGCTAACTCTTCAGTGAAAACATATCCTAAATGAGTATTGCCGTAGTCTCCACTCTGTCCTCCCTTACTTTTCCAGACACTTTTTGTGTCTTACCTCTTACACAAATCAGCATATTTATGTGTAATTGTTAGTCATTATGGTTCAACTGTATTGTGTAATGTGATTTTTATTTTTAAATTCCTATTTTTGAATGCTGCAAATTTATGTGATAGCTGAAGTCAATTGTGTGTCAGGTAGCTTTTTATATAGCCATTTTAGACAGATAAATAAGTACACAATTGTAATTTTTTCACAGTGTATTTGAGTATCTTTTTCTATTCCTTTTCTAGGCAAAACCAAAGCTAATTGAGCCAATAGACTACGAAAACGTCATTGTTCAGAAGAAAACACAAATTTTAAATGATGCGTTACGTGAGATGCTACTTTTCCCTTATGATGACTTTCAGGTAATTATTTAACTTCAGTTTCAATAAATTTTATTAGTAATGTTACAGACATGAGACACTGGAATAGGTGAATGGAAAACCATTAAGTACAGTATTGAATTTCTAAAACTAAGGATCTTTCTATCATCTGAATCCTTGGATATTCATGCTTTTTTTCGGGGGGGAGTGTCTTTATTTTGCCTGATTTTTTCTAGTGCAGACTGGTGAAGTACTGACACAACTCCACCATTCTTTCAGGATATAGGAGGTTCCACTTCCTCAACACAGCCAGCTTGCTTCCTGCTTGAGAGGCAGCGGGTCAGACAGTGGCAGCCCTTATTGCTTTTTAAAACTTTTCCTAGATAACTTTAGTTTTTTTCATATACCTGCTGGATTTGGTGCTGTCCATTGGACCCAAAATATCACGACTGGTTTAAAAATCATAACTTAAATAAATAAATAACATTTTGTGTTCATTATTTGCTGTCTGGTTTTTATTCCTTAGGTACAGTTGGGTCACATTTTCAAGCTTTTCTCCACAACAATGGATATAAACTTTTTTTTTAAATGAAAGCTGAGATTCTCATCTAAACACAAGGCTCCAGGGGCTCAAGCTTTTAAGAAAAAACATCAAATGTTGTGGCTTTTGTGATGTAATGAGGAGAACTGGCAACACGGTATACAATACATGGGGATTCTCTTTTGCAAAAAGAGTAAATTACCATTGAGCAGAAAAAGGCACTACAGAGACCTATGTATGAATAATGTTTTACCTCCATAATTTTTTTCTTTAGATTTCATTAGTTTTGTGTAGAGAGCATAGTATCCAATAAACGTTTTCTAAAAATAAAACCATATACTTAACTAGAGAAAAAGAATAGAATCATAGAACTGGAAGGGACCTTGAGGTCATCAAGTCCAGTCCCCTGCCCTCATGTCAGGACTAAGTATTATCTAGACCAACCCTGATAGATGTTTGTCTAACCTGGTCTTAAAAACCTCCAATGATGGAGGTTCCACAGTCTCCCTGGGCAATTCCAGTGCTTAACCAACCTGACAAAATTTTTCCTACTGTCCAACCTAAACTGCCCTTGCTGCAATTTAGACCCATTGCTTCTTGTCCTATCCTCAGAGGTTAAGGAGAACAATTTTTCTCCCTCCTCCTTGTAACAACCTTTTATGTACTTAAAAACTGTTATCATGTCCCCTCTGTCTTCTCTTTTCCAGACTAAACAAACCCAGTTTTTTCAGTCTTCCCTCACAGGTCAAGTTTTCTAGCCCTTTAATAATTTTTATTGCTCTTCTCTGGACTTTCTCCAATTTGTCCACATCTTTCCTGAAATGTGACACACAGAATTGGACACAATACTCCAGTTGAGGCCTAATCAACGTGAAGTAGAGCAAAAGAATTACTTCTTGTGTCTTGCTTACAACACTCCTGCTCATACATCCCAGAATGTTGTTTACTTTTTTTGCAACAGTTACACAGTTGATGGATATTTACCTTGTGATCCACTATGACATCCAGATCCCTTTCTGCAGTATTCCTTCCTAGGCAGTCATTTCTCGTTTTGTATGTGCGCAACTGATTGATCCTTCCTAAGTGGAGTATTTTGTATTTGTCCTTACTGAATTCCATTGTATTTTCTTCAGACCATTTCTCCAGTTTGTCCAGATCATTTTGAATTTGAATCCTATTCCCCAAAGCACTTGCAACCCCTCCCAGCTTGATGTTGTCTGCAAACTTTAAGTGTATACTCTATGCCATTATCTAAATCTGATGAAGATATTGAACAGAACTGGACCCGGACCTGATCCCTTCAGGACCCTACTTGATATGCCCTTCCAGCTTGACAGTGAACCACTGATAACTACACTCTGGGAATGATTTTCCAACCAGTTATGCATCTACCTGATAGTAGCTCCATCTAGGTTGCATTTCCCTAGTTTGTTTATGAGACGATCGTGTGAGACAGGGCACTTCTTCACTGGCAACGTTAAAGCGCTGCCGCGGCCATGCTTTAACATGGCTTGTGTAGTCGCAGTATAGCACTCTTAAAAAAAACACCTCCGTGAGGGGAATAGCTACCAGCGCTAGGAGTGCGGCTACCAGCACTGGTACACAGTCTACACTGGCACTTTACAGCGGTGAAACTTGCAGCGCTCAGGGGGGTGTTTTTTCACACCCCTGAGCAAGAAAGTTGCAGTGCTGTACTGTGCCAGGGTAGACAAGCCCACAGTATCAAAAGCCTTACTAATGTCAAGATGTACAGTACCACATTTACCGCTTCCCCCTATCCACAAGGCTTGTTATCCTGCCAAAGAAAGCTATTAGGTTGGTTTGACATGATTTGTTCTTGACAAATCCATGCTGACTGTCACTTATCACCTTATTATCTTCTAGGTATTTGCAAATTGATTGCTTAATTATTTGCTCCATTATCTTTCTGGGTACTGAAGTTAAATTGACTGGTCTGTAATGGTGACATCCAAAAGTCCTCCACCAGTATTACACTCCTGCAGCCTAAGGTTTTTTGCACTATGTGTGGATTTATGGTGGTTCTATTCAGAGGAATTTGGGTTTTTTTAATAAGAAGTTTTTACAGTGTATATCCTTACCAGCTGTGGAATACTGTTCTCTCTTCATATGAAACTATTGTATTACTTTTAGGGGAAAACTGCCAACCAAGTAGCTGAAAATAAACATATTTTCTACAGTCAAATTTGGCAATCATTACTATTTATCTGAGAGAGCCAATAAAGTCCTATAATTTTTAATAATTTTTGACATTTTTCCCATTTATGCTGTAACCTATTTAATAGCTTATCTGGAGGTTCACTGAAAATTATTGGACCCATGTGTGGTTTTTTTAGTATCTTCTGTCATATACCCCTTTATTCCCAGGAGCAATACATGAACAAATCCATGCTTCTCCACTGACCATTCTCTATAGATCCCCATTCTGGGAAGTATGTCCCTCTGGTTCAGTGAGTTGCAGGCTATTTTGAAAGCTGTGATTGTTGGGGGGGCCTCATGCATGTTCAGACATCTGAATGTTTGGTGCAAGATTATTTAAGGGACAGTAGTCCCAAACACCCTTACTTCTACTTCTACTTCTACTTCTACTTTTGTGAGTAGTTGGCTTCAGAACTATTGCTCTGTTCTTCTGCTGTACGCAGCTGTTCTACGTTTTTTCTGTTTTATTAGCTCTAGTATTCTATACAATATCACACACAATATTAAAGTTTGCTCAACTATATTTCTTCACAAGACCACAAATGCTAAATCAAGAAAATCCTAAAACAAGATCACTTTGGCTGTGAATGATATACTTCTCTCCAAATTCTAGAGTGCTGCCATCATGACGCTTAACCACACCATCACACTAATACCACGTGCTAAAGCAGGAATTCTGATTTTTTCATCTACCCTGCACTGATGTGTGCACACTCTCTTAAAAAAGACCAAAATTAGCAGTTCTTCCTATGTGATAGCTCAAGAAGGACCAAAGAAATTGGGTTTCCTTCATTGCAAGACACATTTTTCTGCTGTTCTAACCATTCAGATTGCTAACTGTGAGGAGGCAAATGTTCAAGTAAATTGTATTCCTGGACTAGGAATCTTCTTCTTGGACTACCTGCCTAAGGAGCAATACAGTGAAGCCAAACCAATTTTAAGAGCATTTCCCCAAGTATACTTTGAGAGTTGTGGTTAGGTCAGTTGGAACAGTTTTGTCACTCTTACACTCTTGATTTCAGACCTCTTGGCCCATCCTAAGAAATTTAGACATAGTATCCAATCTGCTGTTTGAGAAACATGACCTCTTTAGTCTTCCTTTTGAGAACAAAGTAAGAAAGACAGTAAGGTCTTAGGGTCTCTCCCTTTCTTTGTATTCCAGGGTCAGGGTGTGTCTACACTGCAGCTGGGAGCAAACCTCCAAGCCCGGGTAGACAGACTTGCGCAGGAAGGTGCAAGAAATCTCCTGTATGCGCATTGTGGCACAGGCAGTAGCTTGGGCTAGCCACCCTAACTTGAACCCACTTGATCTCCTGTGTCTGAACTCAGGTGGTTAGCCCGAGCTGCGAGCAGTGCCACAATATCCAGCCAGACTGCTATTTTTAGTGCTCTAATTTGAGCCAAGATAATGCAAGTCTGTCTATCTGGTCTAAGGGCTGACTCCCAGCTGCGGTGTCGACACCCTCAGGTGTCAGTTACATCAGACCACCATAATGAAGGAAATCTTAGACCACCTTTCTGTCTTCTTATACAGCACCTGTCAATTAGCATAGTAGCTGAGCACTTCTTTGGCTCCCCCTACAATATCCAGTAGTACTTCATGCTAGATCTGGCAGTGCTGTTTGTTAGCAAAAGAGCCTTTTAAACTGATAAATAGAATAGGGAAGATGGGAACAGAAGAACTGCCACACTGGATCAGACACATGATCTGTCTAGATCAGTGGTTCTCAAATTTTTTTTTTTTTTGGTGTGGACCACTTGAAAATTGCTGAGGGTCTCGGTGGAGCACTTAATGACCTTTCCAAATCTGTTTGTACCGTTAGCTAACTATTGTAAAGCGCTTTGAATAAAAGCACTATATAAAAAAAACTTAATAAAGTTTTTTTGTTCTACAAATAAAAGCACACAACTCATATTTTAGTATCCGTAGTCTTACCTTTCTAATGCGATGGCTGTGCCCTCTCTCCCCCACTGCAGCAGCCACAGAGCTGAGGCGGGGAAGGAGGGCTGTCTCTCTGCCGCAGCCCTGGCGCTGGGGAAAGTCGCCTATTTCTCTGGCCGCTGCAGCCCTGTATGTCCAAAATTCCCCCCACCCCCTCTTCTCACCCCACTGCCCCCTCCCACCTACCCTCTATTCCCCCCAAGGCCACCACCTTACCTTACATGTGAGTCTTCTCCAGGGTCCAGGCACCTAATCAGTGGAGCCACACCTGCGCAGCTCCACTAATTTGGTGGGTGGCCCTTCATTCTCTTGTGTGCGGCCACCCAGGCATGCACCTTAGAG